GAAAGTTGAAGAAATCAGTAGATCAAGCATTGAGTATATCTCCTAACGGAGGGTGCCTGAGGATCAGCAAAGAAACTGTGAGCTGTGGTCTGAGCATGGGGAGTATCTAGACATCTTGGAGGATTTAGAAAGTCATTTGGAGAAGAAAATAAGTGGTTGATGTGATCACAAGAGCTACAGTTGAAGACAGTCAACTAGGGTTTCCTCTGGGTCAACCCTAGGTCAACCCTAGGTCAATTGATTGATTTAAAGGCATTCAGGGCTATTGGAGAGATGTGGGGTTCATCATTTGACATATAGAGAAGGATATGATGATATGCTAAAGAGAAATCAAGAAAAATCAAGAAGAATAGAGGGTGAGAAGTCAAGGTTCCTAGGGTAAAATCCCTTGTTTTTCACTGATTTGTCAAAGAAGATAAGTTGAAATACAAGCCTCATCTCACCTACTGATGGTCATTAGACTTGTAGAGGATGTTATTAGATTTAATTTGAGTGGTGGAAGTCCTTGAGAAGATTTCTAGAACTCAAGTTATGGCTCTTGCAAGTTAGGAGTCACCAGATGACACTGAAATTTGTCTGTGAAAGTCGACTGTCTTCTGACAAACTTTTGACCCTCAAGAATAATTCAAATGGACTTTGGACAAACATGAGAGTTGTTCCTCATTGTATCCCCTTTCCAGAATGGTATAGTATGCCTTCATATGATTTGTGGAACTCTACTTATGGTTTGTGCAAGACAGGGGTATTTTGGTCATTTGGAATTACAGGTCATTTTTAGCCAATGCCTAAAACTCATACAAGGAAGCTTCAAATGGAAAACTTCCCAACATCAAAGTTGCTCAAAATGGAATTTTAAGGCTAGATAACATGTTGTGAGAGTTTGAAAATGCATGGAGCATGGATATTTTAAAATGGTCAAAATGACTTAAAAAGGCATATAACTTGAAAAAGTTCAAGTTGGAAAATGGTTTGAGAGATCTACAAAGCCAATATGGGTCATCCAATATACCAAATTGATTCCCAACATTATTTTAAAGACATTGGTTCAGCCACAATTTTGAGTTTAGGTTTAAAAATTGGACTTCCTTTGTAAATTTGTTTCTTACATCATAAGGCAACATGGTAAAGCTTAATACAAGGCAAGGGAAACTTGGTTTTTCATGCATACACTCCTAATATCTCATGAGGGGAGATTTTCACTCAAGTTTACCCAAGGTGCAAGCATGATATGATATGATTCAAAATGCCATTAAATGATAAATTCATGAAAGTTCCATAAGCTTCTAGATCTCTCTAGGACCAATCTAGAAGCTTCTCATTCTGTTAATCATCATCTATATAAGGAAATGAAGCTGTTTGTTATTGGGTTGGTGATGCTTTAAGCTTGCAAACACTACTTTGAATCCTTCACTTCAATTTGCATTTTCTATCCAAACTCCATTAAAGCTTCATCAATCATCTCAATCTCTGTTATCATCATCATCCTCCATTGTTGTAGAGTAAAAAGCACTAAGAAGGCACATCAATTCGTGGCTGAATCATGAGTTCCACTTCATCACTCCAAGTTGCGTGAAGGTTCGAATTGCCATTTTCAAGAAGCTTGAGCACGAATTCTCTTCACCAGCATCATCACCATCATATAAAGATCATTTGGCACCATTGGCAAGGGCTGAAACAGGGCATAACAACCATCACCATATCCAATCGGTAAGGATACGTTTTGTTTCGAATCACCATAGTTATGCATGGTTAGGGTTAGTTGTTGTTATATTCATGATAGAGACCACTTAAGGATCATTTATGGTGAGTTTAAGGTCAATCCATGGAGGTTCAAGATGT